TCCGACCCGGAACCGGCGAGCGCGTGGGGGCGGGGAGGCGAGCGCGCAGAGCTGGCGGGCGGCCCCCCGGCGCCCGGCCCCCCAGCCATGTCTGCCGAGGAGATGGTGCAGATCCGCCTGGAAGGCCGCTGCTACCCGGTGAGCAAGAGGAAGCTCATCGAGCAGAGCGACTACTTCCGCGCGCTCTACCGCTCCGGCATGCGCGAGGCCCTGAGCCAGGAGGCCGGCGGCCCGGAGGTGCAGCAGCTGCGCGGCCTGAGCGCGCCCGGCCTGCGGCTGGTGCTGGACTTCATCAACGCCGGCGGGGCCCGCGACGGCTGGCTCCTGGGCCCGCGGGGGGAGCAGGCCGGGGGCGTGGAGGAGGAGGAGGACATGGACGAGGTGAGCCTGCTGTCCGAGCTGGTGGAGGCGGCCTCCTTCCTGCAGGTCACCTCCCTGCTGCAGCTGCTGCTGTCCCAGGTGCGGCTCAACAACTGCCTGGAGATGTACCGCCTGGCGCAGGTGTACGGGCTGCCCGACCTGCAGGAGGCCTGCCTGCGTTTCATGGTCGTCCACTTCCACGAGGTGCTGTGCAAGCCCCACTTCCACCTCCTGGGGTCTCCTCCCCCAGCCCCAGGGGACGTCGGCCTGAAGCAGAGGCTGAGGGAGGCCCGCATGACTGGCACTCCTGTCCTGGTGGCCCTGGGGGACTTCCTGGTGGGACCCCTGGCCCCGCACCCCTACCAGGGGGAGCCCCCGTCCATGCTCAGGTACGAGGAGATGACTGAGCGTTGGTTCCCGCTGGCCAGCAACCTTCCTCCCGACCTGGTGAATGTCAGGGGTTATGGGTCCGCCATCCTGGACAACTACCTCTTCATAGTGGGCGGGTACAGGATCACTAGCCAGGAGATCTCGGCCGCGCATTCCTACAACCCCAGCACCAACGAGTGGCTCCAGGTGGCCTCCATGAACCAGAAGAGGTAAGCCCCCCAGCAGAGTGCTGCCGCTTTCGTATTCGTTCACTCTCTCCTTAATTCATACCCCCTCCCCCCCAATATTTACTGAACAGTCACAAGAGGTTGTGCTGAGGTGGGAGTGACATCTCCAGGAGTGTTGCTGGCTTTGACTCTGGCCAGGTTTCCAGTGAACTGAGAACTTGCAAGGAAGAGGAGACCCGAATGAGGTCAGGTAGCTCAGTGGTTTCCTTGTAGGTATTGTGCCTTTAGGCAAAACTACTTTCTTTGACTTTCCTAGTGGAAAAAAGATGTTATGGTTTCCTAAAAGGACAGTTCAAAAGGAAGGTGTTCTTTAATCTTTTTTAAGTTTAACTTTTTTTTTTTTTTTTTGGCTTTTAGGATCCAGTGACACATTGGACAGTAACCTGTAACACTAACTTTGGGGGATTTTTGTTGTTGTCGTCAAGGACTTTGAAGTCTTCCACACTGGGGCACTGGTCCGTGACCAGGAGATACTCGTTAGAAAGTTATTAATATTTGCTATCTAGGATTGCCTTTCTTATTTTTTTATCCACTCTTTTGCTTGAGCCTGGCAGTGGTCAGATGTAGAACTGAACATTCCCATCCACCCCTGCCTTCTCCCTTCTCATCCTGCAAATCCCTCCCACTATGAACATGGCTTACTTGAAAAAAGGAGAAGAAAGGAGGAGCTTGGGTGTGAGGTGGGAGGGGAAGTAGGGAAAGGAGCCAGGAAAGGAGTATGAAAATAAGGGCAAAGAGCAAATAAAGGAAAAGGTAGCAGGAAATAAAGATGGTAGGTAGCCCAAGATGCCTCAGAGCCGTGCAGAAGCAGGGAGGAGAATCGGTGTAACCCAGAAATACACTTTCTTCCAGTCCACCTGTTTCCATCTCAAGCCCCCCCATGGTCTCTGCCCTGAAGTGTGGAGCAAGGAGTTGAGGGACTTGCAGGCAAAGAAAGTCTTAACAGCAATGAGGAGACTTTTATACATACTTATTCAACTTGAGAGTCCCCCTAGGCTAGTATACTTGGGGAACACTGGCTTTATTTCTACTATAACATAAAATTCATTTGGAAAGTACGCTTTTTTCCACTGATGATAAAAATAACACATGGCTATAGAAAACTAGAAAAATGGAAAAGAATGAAGCAGCAGAAATGCTATCTGTCCTTCCTCCTCCTACAGGCAGTAACTCTAGGTTGGCATACATTCTTCCAACCCCTTCTTAATGCGTTATTTACCTCACTGAGATGATGACACATCTAAAATTTGTTATCCGAAGTGTTATTTTTAAATAAATTCTAAGAGCTTTAATTGAAGCAACAAAGTAACATTCAGTGGTTATGGGGGATGCTCAGACTTAGGGATGTAAGGCCCTGGGTTCTCTATCACCTCTTCCACATGTGTCCCGAACAACGTGGCCATCCTTAGGTCTGCAACTCTCACAGAGTTCTTTTTTCTTTTTTCTTCACAAATCCTTGGTAGTCCTTGTCTTTTTTTTCTAGGAATGCCCTTTCTGTCCTCTTTTAAAAAAAAAGAAGCATTCAAGTAATGCATGAATAATACATGCTTCTTAGAAATGACACAAAGTATAGAGTAAAAAATGTTGGTAATGGTTAACAATCTGGAAATGTATATGTATGTGCATGTGCACATGGGGTGTATATCATTTTAATTTTACTCTAAAATTGATTAGACTAGGCTAATTATTATGGCACTTGGTATTTCCACTTAATAGTATAACATATCTGAGAGTTTTTTCTGTGTCAACAAATGTAGATCTACATCACTCTTGTTAATGGCTGTGTAGCATTCCAGCCTGTGGATGGAGGTACCGTAATATAATTAGCCTTTCCCTTGCTCATGAGCATTTAGGTCACTCCCATTTGTCATTATAAACAATGCTATATTGAACATCCTGGTGTATGTGTGTTTCTTAGTAGGCATATGTGAGTTAGTTCCATATGTCAAATTCCAGAATGCCTGTGTAGGTGGGGCAAAGTATGCATGTTTTAAATTTTGGTAGCTCCTGCCAAATTGCCCATCAAAAAATTGTTCTAATTTCCTCTCCTGTCAACAGTATTTGTGCTGCCAGTTACCTATACTCTTGCCAAGACAAGATATCATCATCTTTTCTTCCAGTCTAATGGGCAAAAACACTGGTGTGATTTTCCCTGATTAGAAGAGAGGTGATTGTTTTCATATGTTTATTAGCCATTTGTATTTCTACCGTAAGTGGTCTTTGCCAGTTTCTAAAAAATTGACTTATCTTTTTTGTATTCATTTTAAAAGCTCCATATATGTATGCAGTTATTACCCTCTTGTCTGACATTTTCCTATGCCTTTATTTTTTGAAAGGGTTCAAAAGCAAAGTCCCAAAGTGACCAGGCAGGTGGAGTCAATGAGTAGAGGGGTGGATGGGAGTTATTATGAACCAGAGAGCTCCTGCCCGGCCAAAAGAGGGCTCACCTCCCAGCCACTTCTGGTTATTCCCAAATGAAAGTTAGGAAGTGGTGTTGCCATACATCCAAATATGCCAGTCTTTATTTATTATTATTTTTTTGGCAGCTGCCCAGTACAAGGATCGAACCCTGGACCTTGGTGTTATCACCACCACATTCTAACCAACTGAGCTAATGGGTCAGCCCTCCAAATATCTTAATGTTTAAATGTTGGCAACCTACTCCATTTAAAAACAAATCATCATCGACAACAAAATCCTTACAGACCAAACAAAATGCAGCGCAGCACTGACCTTGTGAGCCACCAGTTTTGGACTTTAGATTTATATTGTATTCTTGTATGAAGAAATTTTAATTCTTCTGTAGTCGGATTGATGTGTGCATCCTATAAATTTTATATCTTGCATAGGAAAGGCTTCTGCAAGCCAAGAACATATAAATATTCATTTGTATCATGTTCTATTATTTTTATAGTTTTGCCTTTTTACATTTAGATCTGAATCTGTTTGGAAGTTATTTTCATATAAGGTATAATGCAAGGTTATAACATTTTTTCTAAATGATCCGACAGCCCCCAATCCTCATGTGATTTGCAAAATCAGTTCTCATATACTAATTTTCCTGTTTCCGAATTGGCAGATTGACTATTCCTGGATTAATGACACATTTTAAATGATTATAGTTGGTAATATATTTTATAGTCTAGTAGAAATAAAGATCCCTGTGTTCTGTTTTGTTTTAATTCTCTTGGTAGTTTCTGCGCATTTTTTTGTTCAGATAAACTTTAGAATCAGCTTATGAAGTCTTGTTCGGATTTTGATTGGGATTACATTGTATTTATAGATTAATTTAGAGGAGGATTCACAGTTATATTATACTTTGTAGCTAGAAAAATGGTTTGCTTTTCTATGAATTTAGGTCTTTGGTTCTTCAGAAAAGGTTTCCTTTATTATCTTCATATAGTCTATATTTTTTGTTAGGATTATTCTTAGGTATTTTGTACATATTGTTTTTTCCTACACAGATACTTTTTCCATTACGTTTTCTGATTGGTTATTGATGCTGTATTGGAATTTGCATCTTTCTTCATCTCCCTCATGCTTTGACTCAGGCCTGACATCATCTCTACCAGGAGATCCTTCCTGAACCCTCAGTTGGGCTAAAGGTTCCAATTCTGTGCTCATCCAGCATCTCCTGCTCCAGCACTCCCACCTCGAATTGAAATTCTCTGTTTTTGTTCTCTCTCTCTTTGAGACAGGGACTGTGACTTATTCATTGCTTACGCATATTCCTACTGCTAACCTGGTGTCCAGTGAGTAATAGGGCCTTAAAATATGTGGATGTTGTTTTGGTTTTGGTGGCTGGCCAGTAAGAGGATGTGTTTTTTTAAATTGTGGGATATATTTTTACATTATTGTAATAAAAGTGAATGTATACTTTTATATTCTGCTTTTAAAATATAAAATTGTAGTGAACATTTTTACCTTGTCACAGTCATTATATTTATTTAGAGTAGCTGAAAAATAACAGCAGGTAGCATTAATCACACACTTAACGCTGCACTGGGTACCGTTCCTACTGCTTTGCATGTGTTATATCACTTATTCCTCACAAGGACGTTAGCCAAGTTCCTACCTTACAGAGGCAGCAGGAGAGGCACAGTAAATAAGTTGCTCAAAGGTATGAAGTAAGTACAGTAACCAAAATGTAAATACCCATTGAGTAGTTGTAACCATTTCAATTGTTTACAAGTTTTGGCCTATAGACTTGTAGTGACTTTCTTCATGCAAAGTTTTTTTCTTTTTTTAAGTTATTTCCTTCCAAGATGTAGAACACAGATATTTTGTGATTCTGTACTGTTTTCCAAAATTTCATCATGCGTGCCTCAGCTTTGCCACAGCCTTTAAGTCTAGCACTGTTGTAGTCACTATTGGATCTATAGAAACAGGTGACATGATGTCTGCCTTTAAGGAGTTTAAAATTGAGTTTAGATGAGGACACAAGTAAAAATGAAACTTAGAATGGGGTTGTTGGTG